TTATGATGATGATTATCAAGTGATATGTACTCATTCTTCTCTATTTATTTTTGTTCTTATAATTTTTCTTAATTAATTAATTAATCTACATACTAATTAATTTATTTTGTTCTTATGTTATATTTGTTTGCGACGGACGTAGATATATATGACCAAAGATACTATCTTAATCAAGGACCTCATGATGTAAGTGTTTTGTATGACCAACCTAACCATCATTCAATGGATGTTTGGAACAATTTGTCGGTACGTATAATTCTTCAACTTTTTGTCATAGTTTATTTTGTTAAGGTATAATTTTGTATTGATTATTTTCAATGATTTGGACTATGAGGCACTTTGTTGGCATCAAGATTAATGGTCAACTCATCACATCATTGGTGGAGAGGTGGGGCAAAGAGACACATAACTTCAACTTCCATGAAGGAGAGTGCTCCATCACTTTGAAGGACATCGCCATCCTAACGCATTTGCCTATCGATGGCGATGCGATGATTGTGGACAATCATCCACAGATCCACCAACTTCATATGACGAGAATATGAACGTTTGGCAATATTTGCTCCAGAGTGCTTTGGGGTTGTTCGTGCCAAACAGCTCAGAAGGTGACGTTGTAGAGGATGGGAAGTCACCCTTGAAGAAGAACCAAGTATCAATCACTTGATTAATAGCGGAGATCAAGAGGAAGTACAACCCGAGGAGCATGGCAACCCCCTCACTGAGGAAAGTGATGAGATGGACAAGGAAATTTATGTGCATGTTTACATCATCGGCCTGGTCGGAGGAGTGTTCTTCCCCAAAAAGTCAAACAATGGCAAGAGATTGGCAGTGCACAAACAACCTTGTAGACAGAGTTGATACTCTCACTTGAGTTTGTTGTGGCAATACCCCAACTGGTACCTCCATCCTTATGAAAAGTCCACATGGATAGGCTATGTTCATCAAGCCACGACGCATCTTTAGGACATAACTCACGGATTTTATACAACTTCTCATTCAATTTCTTCTCTTGGTAGGCAATAGCTGAGGGACATACATAAGTGTATGTTAACATTTGTGTACAATGATATGAGCTTTCCATAAATACAGAAGGAAATAGAATGCCTAGCAGTCCACCACAGATTATCAGCAAGCTTCCCCCGTTTGAAATGATGGTTTCAATTACTTTTGAAGTGTCTTATGCACCACCTCTGGGACCACTTCAACGTTAGATCCAAGTCTAAGATGACAACTCTGATCCTGGCGTGGCGATCAGAGATGATTGTGAGGTTCGTCTTCTTGATGGCGTGGAGGTGAATTTGTCGAAGAACCATCCCTAGCTTTCAGTATTCTCTTTCTCAACAATGGCGAAGGCTATATGAAAGGTACCCCTGTTTGCATCCGCTCCACTAGCAACCAGGAGAGTGCCCTTCTATTTGCCAGTAAGGAACATGCCATCCACTTGCATAATCGGGACATAGAAGGGAAAACCAACAAGACATGACTTGAATGACCAGAAAAGGCATTTGAACTTGCATTTCTTACCGGGCTCCGGCGGCTAATTTTCTTCATCTTGGTAGTGTGTGGAGAAAAAAATGTCGGGGTTAGACTTCTCCAACGCCAAAATCAATCTGGGAAGGTATGCATATGATTCTTCCCAGTCGCCAAACACGACGGTTATGGGTTTCTGCTTTCCATGCCACCCCTTCTTATAGTTAATATGATATCCATAATAAATGTGGGCAATGATGGTTTGCACCTTCCAGTTTTTTAAAACGATATTTTTGCACTTTCCATTCAAGAAGACATGTTTGGAAAGACGATATTTAATTACTTCGACAAAAAACTGGAATTTTGATAGTAGCTATAGTATCATAGAACATGAAACCTAATGTGGTTGGTAAATTCAATAAAAGTAAGTTCAGCTCAAATTATAGCTCAAAAAGTTTGGTAGCGACATGCAAAATACAATTATACATATACTCGACGATATGTTTTAAAAAAATGACCATAAACTCAAGGATGTTTCCAAGAGAAATAAGTTTTAGAAACAACATTAAAGTATTATATATATTAGAAGAGAAAGAGGATCGATCACAAAAATGTCAATTTGGTGACCTTGAAATTGTTAGACCGGGCCACTTTGTCTAGTCAACAAAAAAAAAATCGTATACGTAGGGAGATGTACAATTAAATAATCAACAATTCAAGATCCAACCTTTAACTACAAAAGAGTCACATTGTGTTTAAAATGAGCAATATGTCGAGTTAAATCGTTCAAATTTACTTTTTCTCAAAGTTAAATTTTGGTGCATACAACCTTACAATCCAAAAATCTTACATCCACTTTATTCATTCCTTAATCATGTTAAATTTGGGGGAAAGGTATACATTTAAGGTGTATAGTTATCATATTTAATTGATTGATTATTTAATTCGTGTTCAACCTGTTGACTAAATTCTTGTTGTTCATCTTTTAAGAGCAGTCAATAAGTTTTTCCATAGAAAGAGAAATGGATGTAGTTGTTGATATTGTAGCCCCTTGAAGGCATCTTTCTGAATAGCAATGAATTGCCAATGGGAATGGAATCCCAACTCCGCATTGGTTCATTGTCGAAGATGGCCAATGCAGTGCTGATTGGCTCATTACATGCATTAGAATTAGGGGTGGAAATCATAAAGGTATTCACTTGGATGTTATTGTACAATGTTGTGTGATGAATCAATCGGATGCCAGAGGCCATCATCATACTCTAGTGTTGAAATACAAAGGAGACGCAAAAATTGAACTGATTAATTTGAACCCTTTACTAAGGCTACTTGTCTACAAAAGATATCTGCATTTCAAGTCCCACCTAAAGAGCTGAAATTTTCAAGTTCGTAGGACCCACAAATTCGAACACTTAAAGTCCATGGGGCCCACGAATTTGTTGCCACAAAATACATAAAGCAAAGGATGGAGTTTGAACAAAATCCATGATCCAAATCCATAATCAAACCCATTACCAAATCCATCAAACAAACAACCTTTTATATTATCTAGTTTCGCCCCATGGACTTGTTGGATGTTTCCAATTTGAACCCTCAACCATTTTTTATACTTTTAATGCCATAAGATGGGATTTTAAGATGTCATCACTCGATGTTTGTACGCGTCACATTCATAATCGATAGTTATTAGTACGAGATGTAAACATCACACTAATACTTTTATTTATTATAAACTAAGTTAAAAAGTGAATTACCACATGTGGTACCAAATACAAAATATCACCTAGAGATTTGGGATTTGTTAAACTTCTTTTCTATTAACTAACTTATTGGTGGCTTCTACAATGTACTCATAAAAATAGAACATATTATATGTATCTACTCTAAAACTAGCTTTAAAACAACAATTTTTTATTTATTTAATTGAGATGATATAACATAGGATCACAACTAAATTATGTATTACCAAACCCTAGACCTTTAATTTAATCCCTAACACTAAACCCGAATTCTAAACTATAAACCCTTACCCTAAAAGCCCTATATTATTTAAATCGTAGTAAATCTGAAATGATTTTTTGTGCAAATTCACCAATTTTCTTGTCCATCATATCACAAGTGACGTTTAACATCGTTTTAACATGAATTATATGCTTAAAATGACAATTTATGAGCTAGACGCATCACACACCCAAAAAGTGAATGCGGTGAAGACAACTATAATTTATCTCGATTATAAATAATTAATATAAATGAAAAAAGGCCAATTGGAGTGTACTGGCGGGTGAAGGCAGCCGTTAAATATAACTCGAGCCTAACTGGTGGTTGGGTTTTGGTTTTACCGGTCGAATCCAATTTTAACAACCGTGATTTTTTTGTTCAACATTATTAAAATTTTAAGTTAAAATGTAGGAGTTGAGTGATTATGTCATTGTCAAATGACAATCATAATACTACAATCAATACATGTTTTTTTTTTTGCTCAGAATATTGTCAAATGGATATCATAGTATAATTGGTGCGTTCTTTCTATGCAAAATTTTTTAAATTCAAAGTTAAATGAATGAGTTAGGATCCGTGTCCAAGGGTGTGAAGCTGCTCAAAGGAGACGCAGTCTTTTGCACGATTTTTGTGATTGGCATGCTAGTGTGAAGCTGCTCAAGGGTGTATCCTTAATCTTAGTTTTGTCTATTTATTCTGTATTATCAGTTCATATGCCTAGGCTGTTCAGGGCTGCCCATATTGTGGCTTAAAAGCTCTTGAATCGATAATTCGCTTAGTAGCGACTATCATCTTTTGTATATTATATGTAACTTCTGCCTACATATATCTATGACAAAAAAAAAAGAGAGTTAGGATCCGATTAAGAAAAATTAAAAATTAAAAAAAGTATAATCTCTCTCCTCTGGATTCATGCCAGACTGTCAACTATTTAAAAAGCAAGGGATGCAGAATTACCTGTCCACTCCACTTAGAATTTTTTTTTTTTGTTATGATTTGATTTGAGCCATTAAATTTTCTTAAATTGGATGACTATAAATTTGATTTTGTAGTCTATTAAATTCGAGTGACTGGAGTTGGATGGAGGCTAACGGGAGAGTGACTAAATGTGACATGTTTCAGTAATCCGAGTGACCAAAATTGATATTAAATTTTTCTAGTGACTAAACATGATACGATTTAGTAATCTCAGTGACCAAATGTGGCATTTAATTAAGATGTCAAAAAATCAACTAATATTGCTTGTCTACAAAAAAAATCAACTAGTTATTTAATTAAGATGTCAAATTTCACCCTCGATTAGATTGAATATGAAATTTAAAGGTTTGGTTGCTATCCTAGTTGCATTAGCAAAACGAGAATTTGAGTGCTATATTTGAGTTATTTACTTTTTGAAGTGTTAAATTAGTATTTTTGAACAAATGGTTGCGGTCTTTAACGGTTTAAGTTTAAGTATTTAACCATGTGCCCATGTAATAAAGTAAAAACCTACTTCAACTTTTCTCTTTCTCTCGCTCGCTCGCCGATCCTCTCCGTCTCTCATGGTCGGCGTGAGAAATACAAAAAAGAAGTTGCAGACAGGTAGGAAGGATGCGATCAGCTGGTTGACAATGGCGGTGATATATTTCCCTTTGTTTCCCTTCCAACTACTGAACTGAATTCCCCTTGTTTCATAATTGCTCTTGTTTCTGCTACAGCGACAATGGAAGACAATGCTAATCCTCAACACGGCAAGGAGGAGGTAGAGTTGAAGCACCTATGCAAGTACTGCGGCAAGCACTTCTGTAGCGGGAGGTCGTTGGGAGGTCACTTAAGGTCTCATATGCAGCTGATGAGGCAACCTCAAGCTGATGGGAAAGTCTTGTTCGTACGGAAGCTCCCACCACTCTCCTACTGCACTGAATTTCCCTTTTTCTGTTACTCAGACTACTCAAACTCAGACGTTGGGGTGCCAAAGAAGGAGGATGGTGATAATGTGGAAGCTTTTCTAGCGTCCTTGGACCCGAACCATGAAACATGTCCCAGTCGGACTGTGTTCAACTTGTTACGTGAAGGAGCAATCGGTTGCCTCACCGCACTTCTCGAGCGCAAACTCTCTCACAATCGCTTGGATCTGTTTGCTTATCCTGACAGCTGCCGACCGCTCATATTTGAAGCTGCTGAGCTCGGGTTTTATGGGGCGGTCGAGCTGTTTTTGCAACATGGGGTTCCTCCCAGTGCCAGGGTACCAACACATTATCGTCAACCGGATCAGCTTCCAATCGATGCCGCATTATATATGAGTTGCTTGGATCAGTTTGATTCGGCACCCAAGGGCAAGATCTATTATGATCAAAGGCTCTGCACTTTGATGCACTGGCTTCCCAAATGGATCAGCTACGATTTCGACTGGTGGCACATGGTCAAGCTGCTGGGGCGGGCCACCGAACAGGGCCTGCTGGAGATGAGGATTCTGCACTATGCAAGGTACGGCCAAGCTCCCAAGCTGCTTTGGCTCTTGCTCGCGGTACCTGACCGAGTTCTCTCCCCAACATTCTTCAGGGACACCATTCTCCAGCAGCGTTTTGGAACCGCCCCCTTGTCACTCCGGGATTTCCTTATTGCTCAGCTTGCTTTTCTCACTGGCATTAGCCTCGCCATTGAACCCAACCGTAGTCTCCCCTATAAATCTATCCGCCACGATCTGCACTGCAGGATATCAAGCATCACTTGTTCCCTGCGATTGCTCGAAGTCTTCCGCAGGGCTGGCCCCCAGTTGTGTAACGTAATGGCAATGTTAGAGAAGGAAAAGGAGAAGAAATGGGAAAGGGAAAAGGAGAGGGAAATATATCCTCTTCTTCCCGATTACCCAATAGCTCAACAGTTTAAGACTGTGCTCAAGGAAGCTGGCTTTCCGATGGCTTCTCTACGTTGGTAACTTCCGCTAATTTCGATTTTGCATAATCCACATATATGCGTATAAAGTTTGACTGTTGTTTGTTGACAGCCCGGTCAGGACCGCCCATCCGAGCGAGGAGACGATGCATGGTGGCTATCATTACTGGTAACTATCCCAATAAGTTTAAGATACATGGCTTCTCTTGTTGATGTTCTATGCACTTTTACTTGTACCCAAACTTAACCTGGTTGCTCGGTGGTCCTGTAGGATGAACCTGCGAGACGATTACCCTGGATTGGAGCTCTTGATTCGACCACCACATGTCTCCAGGAGTAAAATCCTTGATTCGGACTTCAACAAAGCCATCGAGAAGTTATGGTACACTCCCTTCACTAATTTGTTTGATGCCATTATGAACAAGAATTTCTTGTCCTTTTCGTCCATTCAGAGGATCCTTCCAATTGGTTCAACCGAGTTTTTTGTTGTTCTTCTGCAGCCATCATCCTTGCTTGAAGGAATGGACATCCCAAATGTCCATTTTCAAGTTGCTTTTCATATTTTGTCTCCCTGACGTGGTAGAAAATATGCAATCTGTGTTACCATTGGAGCCCAAGTATGTCAACCCTGCAACTGTTATCCAACCCGCCTATCTTGCTGAGTTGTGCTTCATCTATATTATGGATGGCCGAATTGTTAATTTCACAGCTGCTCTAATGGCTGCGCAAGTTCTTCTTCGGTTGGGGTATCCACTACGTCCTCAAACATCTCGTCATAGCAATAATGATGTGGATCATCATCATCACAAGTCTGTCGCCCCTACTGTATATGAGTGGTTGCTGCATGCTTTGATGAGAGTGCTTGATGAAGAAATAAGCTTAACTGGGAAACCGAAGGACAATGACTCTGTTCAGATTTGCAAGGAGAAAAGATTGATGATATCATCTGCATTCCAACTAACAAAGATATTCGATACATCTGCACAAGATATTCATTGGTATCTTCACTCACCAAGATATAAGGTGTGTGCTTCCTATTCATAGTCTAATTTGCTTGATAGTTGTCAAAACATGGTCAGCTGGTCACTTCCCTTTGAATGAACTGTCTTGCTCCCACAGGAAGTTGCTGATTTGAAGTTGATAGTAAACGATGTTGCTTCCTTGTTAAAAGGCACGGGCTTTGCGTTAAGACCTCAGGATATCTGTGTGAATGACTTGAACTGGTATGTTGTAGTTTTTGACAGTAACTTCTTTCCTTCTTGATGTTGCTAATAGTATATTTCTCTGTATTGTCATAGTTTCTCGAGCAAATCAGGTTCCTGCAAAACCAAGTTAGGTGGAAATTCATCATCCTTCGGACCACTTCCGCATACAGGAACGTCGCTGACAATTTCCACAAGAACCATCAAGTCATCCTTCAGCGCTCCATGCATTAGCGAACTTTCAGCTCCTTCCATTAGCAAACTTTCAGCTTGCTCTTATCACTCATTCCCAACTTCAAGGTACCAAGGGAATAAGTCCTTGTCGTTACCACCGGGGAATGGGGTAAGTTCTGTAGAAAAAAAAGTGGAAGCGACAAGACGATTAGATGCTATGTCAAGGAAAAATTGGAGGTTCCTGGCAGTGATAAAGAGGGCAATGATGCGGTTCTAACAAGCATTCTTAACCGCATCAATGGCAATAACTCATTTATATCCCTGGAATCCCACCGAGATTCTGCTCGGTCATGTAAAATAAGCGAGCTGGAATAAACTCCGAACTTGTTGTATATTAGAGACAGAGTGGGCGGTTATGAATTCACTACCCATTTCCAAGCTATTTTGACTACATATGTATGTGTGTTGATTCTAGTGTTGACCACTGAGGAAGTATTAAAGATCCAACCTGAAATTAGGTATTGAATCAGAGTCTGTAAGAGACATCTGCATTTCCATTATCGTCAAAGATCAGCCTTTTCTACTCTCGCATTCATTCAAGTGAACAAGTCATAAAGCACTGATAAGAAGAAACAAAGGAACCGACTGACTGTCTTCTGTTCAATCGACTATGTTCAGGGCAGAACTAAGTATTGCACTAAGCAGCCAACAGAACCAAGTATAGCATTATCAGAATCCGTATTCAAAGTTCAAAGTTCTAAAAATGAGTAACTCGTACAAATTAACTGAAACCAGTCTAGTTTCTCTTGGGCAATTAATCGAACAGGTAGGTGCCCCCAAAATTGTGGGAAATCAAAGGACGGATTACCTTGCGAAAAAGGTAGGGGTTGAACACGACCTCGTCGGGAGGAGGTGGCGGAGGAAAGGCGGCTTCAATTAGGCGAGGGTATTAGCGGTACCGTGATGTGAGGTTTTCCATGGTACCGTGAAAAAGGACTCGTTCCGGGACCAAATAGCCGGCGAGTGCTGAGCGAAGAAATGGCAATCGGTCGCTAATCGCCTTTTGCACTTCTCTCTCTCTTGTTTCTATTTATGTTATCTATTTTAGCCCCCTAGACTTGTTGGATGTTTTCAATTTGATCCCTCAACTTCCTTTTTTAGTCTTTTTACGCCATTTGTTCATTCTTATTCATGCACACCAAAAAATAGATAGATCGATGGGATTTTAAGACATGTATCACTCGATTTGTGTTATTACATATCAAATAATAGTGAGTGAGTAAACTAAGTGATTATTTTGGCGGATGAAGTTGGAGTAGTAGCAGGGGCGGATATACGGGATTTTAGGGGTGTCCGGAAGACTTTTGAAATTTGAGAAAACGATTATCTAAACTCGATAGTAGTTTCTTATGGTTAAAAAGATATAATTGATAATTCGGGATACTTCTATAATTTAAAAAATGACCCTCGGTAGTAGTTTACGTATGATTAAAAAAATACAAGTGGTGATTTGTGTTATTCAACCTAGGACACTACTATTATTAAATATATTATCAATTAGGTTGCAATTCATTTGTTGTTCTATTTTAAGCACTATGTAATAGTAATAATGTTATTCCTTATCCCAACTATTTTCAAAACCTAACAATTAACCTAATTACGAACTACCTAAATTTGAATTAAATTTATGGTTACACGGCAAGTGTTGAAAGAATCTTTTCAACTTTGAGTTACATCAACAACAAAGTTAGAAATCGAATATGGGGTCAGTTTGTGAATTATTGTCTAGTAGGACATACATATTTGTTGAGCGATGTAGACACCGAGTTTATTTTATGTTTTTTTCCAGAATACGAAGACATGTTATCACATTTTGTTAAAAAATTTACTAATTGGATATTTTTTGGTTTATGGATTATTTAATTATTAGTTTAACTTAATTTTTAAAAGATGACACCTTTCAGGATCTGCCACTAGGTAACCGTGAATAAGGAAGCCTAGTTGGGAGGGATAAAATGGTCACTAGATTATATTTTGATATTCATTAGTATTTCGATTATCTCAAATATCGTTACCAAACTTCAATTGTATGTAAAACATGTTCATAAATTAATAGACCCAAAAATAAAATAGAAATTATATTTATGTGTAACTTTACTAAACATAAAACCCCAAATATGTGATAAATTTTGCTTCCATTTAAGTTATAGAGAAACAAATTACGATAAAAAGATGATTGAAAAAACTAATAAAAGTGATTCAGTTCTTGTAGTTCATACGAACTCAATAGTGTGTGCGCTAAATTTTCCATTTAATGGTCATCATAATTCTTAAGTCTTAACATTTTCTCAAAAAAAAAAAAAATCCTAAATCCTAACATTAGGCTTCTATAAAAAAAATCCTAACATTAGGCTGCCATAAAAAAATCATAAAATTGGGCTCGAGATAGGGATACTGGGCCTTGCTTTAAACTAAAAATTGTGTATTGGCATAATTGTAATAAATAACTATTGGGCTATTTTCTGATGGACCATCTTTCTATTGTTGGGCTGGTATTGTTATTCATCCAGCCTACTTATTTACCGAAAAAAAGTCCAGCTGGTGGTCAATTTATTTTACCTGGCAATTGAAATTAAAATAACGCGTCCAACGGAAATAACGGTACACGGAATAGTGAAACGTGTTCGAAACGCGTTTGAAACGGGTTTGAAACGCGTCTAACGGCTAAATAACGCTATAAGCGGCAAAAACGCGTCCTAGCTAACCGCCTTTAGAGCTCCGCCTTGATCTATAAATACCAATTGATGCTCTGTTATTCATTTTCCCTCCACCCAGCAACGTCTTCATCATCTCTCTCCAAGAATGGGATTGAAGAGAAGTAAGTAAAGTCACGTACTCTTTCCTTCTAGGGTTTCTATTTCGCTACCGCCTGCTTGAGTTTTCTCATGTTGCCCCGGTGATAATCGAAAGTAGCCTTCTGAGGAAGGCAAAGGGAAAGATGATTTCAGAAAACCCATTAATTCGCTGCTGGTCGCCGCCTGTAAGTAGTTGCCCCGTGGATTCCACATCTGTTGCCTATTTGTTACTCGACTGACTGCCGACGGGTGATGTTTGGCTTCAAGCCTATTTGCCGACACTTCCGATCGAATTCGTTGTTGGTTCCAAGTTGAGGTATGTTTCCGACCTATCCATTTTGTTTTCTGGGCTGGATACTAAGTGGGAGGGTTTACAATGGGACTTTGAGAGATCTTGCTGGTTTATATGATTTCAAGATAGCCTGGTTACGTTGAATGTGAGATATACGAGTTACGCTGTTGGTTGTTGAGTCCCTTTGTACACACGTTTGCTCTTGTTGGTCCGTATAGTGTATAGGTTGAGAAACAGTGAGATGATCGTTCCTAGTTCCTACAATCGATTTATAAAAAAAAAAAATCAGTCGGCATAGTTGAGTCCCTTTTTGCACAAGTTTGCTCTTACTTCGTCTTAATGTCAAGAAGCTTTAACATGATAAAGCGGGGTCCTAGAAGAGAGTTATGACTCGAGGCAGCTGCTCTTCTGCCCCAAATGTCGGTTTTTCCATGGTTCTCTAAGGTGGATGGCAATGAGGTCCTAGAAGAGAACTCTGCTGGTCGGAGTTGCTCTTCTGCCTTGTCTGTCATTGTAATTGGTTCTTTGAGATATATGTTTATGGGGTCCTAAAAGAGAACCATGATTAGGCTTAGTTGCCCTTCTGCCCCATGTTTGATTTTTTATATGACTCTAAAGCTTGATAATGGGGTCCTAGATGGGAACTAAAACTAGTCTTGGTTGCTCTTTTGCCCCATCCTACCATGTTTGATTTTTTATATGACTCTAAAGCTTGATAATGGGGTCCTAGATGGGAACTAAAACTAGTCTTGGTTGCTCTTTTGCCCCATCCTACCATTTTCTCTATGGTTCTTTAATGAGCATATGGTGAATATAATGGGGTCCTAGATGGGAACTAAAACTAGTCTTGGTTGCTCTTTTGCCCCATCCTACCATTTTCTCTATGGTTCTTTAATGAGCATATGGTGAATATAAGATCTATTCTATTGGGATACTTTTGTAGAGTGTCCATGGAGAAATAGTTTCTACGGTATTATAAATTCACTCCCCATAGTTCAGTCCCTTTGTACACATGGTGGTTGCTCCGACTTAAAGTCAAGAAGGCTTAACATTATAAGGCGGGGTCCTAGAAGAGAGCTATGACTAGTCGCAGTTGCTCTTCTGCCCCAAATGTTTGTTTGGCCATTTGGAACTGAGGCATTTGGATTTAATACTGAGCTATCTCTTGATTTTGGAAAGTTAAAATCATGGTTTCTTTAACTGTACATCCATGTGTTCCTTTTTTTCTCCCTTCAATTAAAAGAATTTGATTCAAGAGACTCATGTCCTCTAGTTTTGCTGCCTTCTAAAGCTAGTCTGATTATGGAGCCATATCTAAATTGGAAGGATTAAGGTCTGATTATTTTACAAGCTAGATTTTGTTGCCCTCTAAGCTAGTTTACACTAGGATGTCAAGAAGAAGGATGTTGAAATTCATGAAATCGATATATTTTTCTTCCAAGTAAGAGATTAGACCCTACATTAATTGAAACTCTCCAGCTGTCACTCTTGAATGGTTACTTCTTAAAAGGAAGCTTTGCTAGCCTTGATCCTGCTCCATTTACGATACCGTTGCCTTACAAGCTAGTTTACACAAGAAATTTTGGAAGACAGATTCTGTTATGATATCATTGGTGTTAAGGTGGTGATAACACTTCCCTGTTATTCTTTTAGAATATGATGTATTAAAATTTGATATTCATTGAGTCGAGATTTTTTATGCAAAGTAAAGAAATTGGACCGTACATGTGTTGAAGTTCTGCCAGAGTTGCAACTATGTAAAATGGTTGCTTTTGATGGCTGTTCTTTTTGGAAGTTCAGCTTTTTTACTTGATGCCTCATGTAACTGTTGTCTTCTAATCAAGTTGCCTTGCCATTTATTGTTGATACCTTTTGAGAATCATTGTCCAACTGTCCCTTTGTATCAAAACTAGGGGTGCTAAAAGTTGCGTCTGAATTTGGCTTATAATTGAATTGGGATGATCCATTTGTTCATGGATTTGTTCTAGCATCCGTCCCTCAAATCTCAATCATGGGTGGGGACTGTAAGTTATGGATTGGCAGTCTTTAAAGCAAGTTTTGCTTACTGAAAGTGATGCCCAGTTCTAACTGCAATTGAGATTGGAATGTTTGTGTTCCACTAGTTGCCCTGTCCACCTCAAATTTGCTGGTTTTCTGTTCCGCAGAGTGGAAGTCCTAAATCGAGTCTGAGAGAAGAGCTCAGAAATAAGTACTACTACACTGGTATACTGCCACTAAGCTTGAAAATGTGTTGTCCTTGTTGGTTCAGAAAGCAAGATACTAATTTGACAATAATGTTCCCCTCCTTGCCTGATACACCCATTTCTACAGTATTCTGTGGACTGGAAAGTTGCCATAGTAGTG